GACATAAAACACCCCCTGCCCTGGGGCTCTTGGTTGAGTAAAGACTAGAGATGGTGTCTCGATAAAAATACTCATCTTGGGCAGATGTTAAATGCATCCGGCTGCTGTCTTGTAGAATGCCTCCTAGGCAAAGACTTAAGGGGTAAACAGATTCTATCTGTTGACCAGCCTCACACCCCTTCTCCATCAATTAGGCTGGCGCAGATGTATTTTTAATACATTGTTTCCAGTTTAGGATGTTGAACACTGGATCATCTTGACTCGATGCATGGGTTTTGCTTGTGTCTCTGTTTTTATGACTAGGAAACTCATTCTATTATCTCCAAATGAGGGTACAGCTCTAAAACTCAGTTTTATGGTTCTGAGGCCAGCTGGTAGTCAGGTTTCTCGAACTCTGTGGTAGCTCTCAGAGAGGCTGATTCCATCAACAGCTGAAAAATATCAGAGTACTAACAGTGCCATGTTGCGCAAGGATGGTGTCCCTGTTTGTACTTTTGGTGTGCATTGCCATGGCCACATTGGAGCCCTATGTTACCGCTTAGGGTTTATTAGTGGAAATGAGGCGATTGCTTGGGCTATAAAACAGTGTACTGAGTACTATCTATGTTTCGAGTCAAGTTTTTTAACAAATTTAAAAATGAATAAAGTAACATAAACTATAAAACACAAAAAACCACAGTCATCACCAAGTTCACTAAACCTATCATTCACCAATATTCGTGGTCTTCAAAGTAACTTTTCTTCTGTTGAGTCTTATCTCTTGCAAAGTTCACCAGACCTACTTGCTCTTTGTGAGACTAATTTGAGTTCAGCAGTCTCATCTTGTGATCTTAGTGTTGATAGTTATCTTCCTTTAATTCCTAAAGACTCCAATAGTCACATGCTTGACCTAGGCATTTACGTTCGTAAGAATTCACCCATTTGTCAGAAAACTAGGTTTGAATCCACAGACTACTCTATTATGTGCTTTCGTTTAGCATCACTTCACTCTATCACCTTTTTCTTTGTTCTGTATCGCTCTCCTTTATATCAAGACTGCACTCTTCTTAATGTTATTTCTGATTATATTGACCAAACCCTCATTCTTTATCCTTCAGCCAATATTGATGTCAGTGACTTTAATGTTCATCACACTGAATGGCTTGGCCCTAGTGTCAGTGACTCTGCAGGCATTAAGGCCCACAACTTTTGCCTTTCTCAATCCCTAACTCAAATAGTCAACTTTCCAACTCGCTTTCCAGACAACCTGAACCATTTACCTTCTCCACTCGACTTATGTCTTGTTCTAATCCTAGTCAGTGCTCAGTTTCTCCACACTCACCCTTAGGTGCTTCTGATCATGGTTTGGTCTCTCTAAAACTATTATCTCATTCTTCTTTACCATCAGAATCCCCCTATCATTGTACATCTTACAACTACCTTAAAGCTGACTGGGACTCTTTTCGTGATTTTCTTCGTGATGGCCCCTGGGTAGAAATCTTTCGTCTTCCTGTTGACAAATGTACTTCTTACATAACTTCGTGGATTCAGGCTGGCATGGAATCCTTTATTCCCTCTTAACGACTCCAGGTTAAGCCTCACTCTTCTCCTTGGTTTTCCTCACATTGTGTTGCTGCAATTGCTAATCGAAACCATTACTTCCATATCTAATAGCAAAACAATTCTCCAGAAAACAGACGTCTGTTTATTACTGCTAGGAACCATTGTAAAAAGGTTTTGTCTAACGCCAAAGCCCGCTATTCTCAGATCATGAAATCTCTTATTTCATCACAAAAATTAGGGTCTTGTGACTTCTGGAGAATCTTTAATAGTATCAATAATAAGGACAAGTCTGTAATTCCACCCCTTTTGTACGGTTCAGACTTTGTCACCTCACCTAAAGACAAAGCTGAATTGTTTGCCAAGAACTTTTCATCAATATCATCTCTTGATTCCACTAGTTGCGTTCTACCTGATATAGGCGTCAAACAGTTTGATCCATTGATCGACATCGATATCACTCCAGCTTCTGTATCTAAAGTGATTTCCTGCTTAGACTCTTCTACAGCTTGCGGCCGGACGACATACCTGTTATAGTCTTGCAGAAGTGTTCTCCGGAGCTGTCGTCTATCCTTTCAAAACTATTTAACAAGTGCTTATCAGAGTCTTGTTTTTCAGCCTGCTGGAAAGCAGCATCTGTTATCCCTATTTTTTAAAATTCTGGAGAGCGATCTGATTCATCTAACTACCGTCGCATTAGTCTTCTTCCTATCATAAGCAAGGTTTTTGAATCTTTATTTAACAAACACTTAATCTCTCATCTCAAATCTCATAATCTACTTTCTGATCATCAATATGGATTTCGATCTTCTCGTTCTACACCTGATTTGCTAACAGTAATAACCGATAGGAATTATCGCGCATTAGATAAAGGTGGAGAGGTTAAGGCCATCGCTCTTGACATTTCTAAGGCGTTTGATAAAGTTTGGCATGCTGGTCTTCTCCGTAAGCTTTCTTCTTACAGTGTATCTGGAAACATCTTTAAGATTATCAAATCCTTCCTTTCCAATCGTAGTATAAAAGTTGTCCTCGATGGACAGCAATCTTCTTCTTATTCTGTAACCTCAGGGGTTCCTCAAGGTTTAATTTTTTTTCCTCGAACATCAGTTCTTTGGAATTCGCTTCCTTCATCTTGCTTTCCTGATTCATATAATTTGCAATCTTTTAAGTTGTCTGCCAATCGTTATCTTGCTCTACGATCTTCATCTTTTCTCTTCCAGTAACTTCCAACACTAATTAGTGGTTGCTTGCAGCCTTGTTGGAAGCGAAGATGTTAAAAAAAAAACGAGTAAGATTAAAGAAAAAAAAGTCACTTTTTTTATAATTTATTGTTATTATAATACTTTTTATAATATTTATTATATTATATTATAATATTTTTTATAGTATTTTTTTATATTTAAATTGTTTTCCAACAAAAAGTGAAACAAAAAAATTTGGTTTAATAAATCGAATTATATTTCATTAAGTTTAAGAATAAGCTTAAAAATATTGATGCAAAAAAGTTGCTGGTTTCTATTAGCATTAATTAAAAAAATTAATAAAAACGAATTAATATATATTTCAATATAATTAAAGAACTAAAATTAATAATATAAAATTATTGATAAAATAATAACTTAAATCATTAATAATAAGTTAATTTGGTGCAATGTTTTGAAAGACAAAGATAAAAACCAGGCTGTTTTGTGAAAAAAAGAATGAAAAATAAATTCGCTTTAACGTCTTTTCCCTTTTCAATTTTTGCTTTAATGACCTTTTAAATATTATTGGCTTCCACGCAGAGATTCAAAGTAATTTAAATTCAAATGAAAATCTCCGCGCTAAAGGGCAAATGATCATCTATTCAGAAAATAAATTTAGCATGACGTACTTATTAACAAAACTTGATAACAAAAACAATACTTTTAAGAATTGCCAAAAAAAAATGCTTAACTAGAAAAAAAGTAAATAAACAACCAAAAAAAAATTTAAAAAATCGCCAAATGTTTTTTTTTACGAATGAACTAATCGTGAAGGTGTGAAAAGCAATCACAATTTGCGATCGCGATACGCTTAATTCGAGCCTTGAAGCCTTTGATAAAGTTTGGCAAGCTGGTCTTTTCCATAAACTTTCTTCTTACAGTGTTTCAGGTAACACCTTTAAGATTATTAAACCCTTCTTTACCAATCATAATTTAAAAGCTGTCTTTGATAGACAGCACTCATCTTCATATTCTGTAACTTCAGGGGTTCCTCAAAATGCTATCCTTGGCCCTATGCTCTTTTTAATTTACATTAAGAACCTTCAAGAAATTCTCACATCTAAGGTGACATTGTTTGCTGATGATGCTACCATTTATTCTTGTCTTGATAAGAAGCCAATACTCTTTGACTGCTTGGAGGGGACATATGAGCTTGAAAGGGATCTTACTTCTGCTACATCATGGGGCTCTCAGTGGCTGATGAACTCTAACTCAGATAAACCTCAATTTTTTTAAGCTAATCGTTATTGCAATAATCGAGATCTTTCTACATTATGAACGATAAAGAACTCTGAGTCATATACCCTTCGCCTGTTAGGAACTACTCTTACTTCCAATTTTTCTTGGAAACCATATATTAAATCCATTGCAAAATTAACATCTGCTAAGGTTGCATCTCTTTATCGTGCTCGTGACAATTTCTTACTCCGGATTCTATTTTTTCTCTAAAAATCTCAAACCCATCCTTGTATAAAATACTGTTGTCATATCTGGAGCGGATCTTCGAAACATTTTTTTCTAGATAAAGTACGAAATTCCAAAGTAAACATAATTCGACCTGCTTATGCAGTCAACCTTCAACCATTTTTACATTGTCATAATGTTGCTTATTTTTCTCTTTTCTATAAATACTATAATGGGTGCTACTCTAAAGAGCTAGCCATCTCGTGACTTTTAATTAAGTCTCATCCTTTTACTGTGATTGTTCCTAAGTGCTCTAAAAAAATTTTATTTTTTCTAGTTTTTTGTCCTCAAACACCAATTCTTTGGAATTCACTCCCTTTTTCTTGTTTTCCTGATCATGTAATTTACAATCTTTAAAGTCGTCTGTTATTCGTTATCTTGCTTTATAAACTTTATCTTATTTCTTCCAGTAACTTTCAACTCTTATAGTGCTTGCTTTCTTGTTGGAAGTTAAAGATAATAAAAAAAAGGAAAAAAAAAATTGTTTTTAGTTTTTAGTTTTTTCTATTCATTTCAAAATAAAAAATTAATAAAAAAAAAGATCTCAAATTTGCATAAAGTAAAAACTGCAGTTCTATGAGCAAAAAATTTACATCTCACTACTTGATGATGTTATAGGATGAAAACCTTTTTGCTTTAGTTTTTTTTGCAAATAACCTAGTTTATTAAGGAAGTTGCAAAAAGAAATGAGCTTAAAAAAAAAAAAAGAAACAAGAAAAAATAATGAAATTATGGTTAACTGTTTAATTATACCAATATTATGCGCTTCATCAAATACAACAGCTGATGACTTTGGAAAACTTTTTGAAACTAAATCAGCAATTTTTGGATCTAACAAATAGTGGTAACTGTAGACTACAATATTGGCAAGAGAAATCTAAAACAAAAAACAATTTGATTATTTTTGAAGAAAATTAAGACAATAGAATCTGAAAAAGAAAAAAAAAATTCTTAAAATAAATATTTTAAAAGAAATGTAGATAAAATTGAAAATCCCACTAAAAAAAAAAGTATTTTAGCAAAAGTATATTATCTGTAATCTCTTTCTGTATTATCTGTATATATTCTATATTATCTGTCATCTCTTACCTAATGCAGCTTCTAAATTTAATTTAATTTGAAAAAAAAAAAAAACAATATTGAAGATTTAATAAGTTATATTTATATGTATGTGCATAAAATTTTGTAAGAAATCTCTATATACTTAAAATTGTTTCTCTAAAACTGACTGATATGCATAAGAACAAGTTCCAGCAGCTAAACTATTTTAAAAAAATGTTGTGTGTGTGTATTTGTGCATAAGTTAAAAAACTTTTTTTATTAATATCTCAAAATACTCAATAAGTATAAACTCATAGGACTGTAATCAATATCTGTTGGGTTTATATAGTTACATTGGGACTACATAGCTTATTGTTATAGTATAAAAGCTAACTTTTATAAGCTTGTTTTTTATGAAAATATGTGCTAACTAAAACCACTTAATAACTAATTAAAAAAAATAATTTAAGAATAAATAAATTTAGAAAAAAAATCTCACAGCATGTCGTGCCATAAAATAAGGACAACATCCAATTTCTTCCCCATATTGTTTAAGATCTTCCTTAAGTAACATACAGTAATTACAAAAGTCATTCAGAAAACTAATTCAAAGCAATATTGCTGCTACATTACCAGGTTGTAAATCCCACTCGGAAGAGGCTCCTCTCGACCAAATGAATCAAAGTTCTATAATATAAAAAATGTTCAATAATTTATTTTGCATTAATTGCATTATATATATATATATATATATATATATATATATATATATATATATATACATATATATATATACATATATATATATACATATATATATATATATATATATATATATATATATATATATATATATATATATATATATATATATATATATATATATATATATATATATATATAGACTTGTTAGCTGTCAGTAAATAGGATACATGGCTGGCTCGCTAATACAAGTAGCTGGATAGCCAGCTAGCCAGTTGTAAACCTAGTGGCCACTGGCTAATAAAAAAGGAAGTTGGCTAGCCAGCTTAATATAGAAAAATACCATGTATTACTTGCAACTATTACAATTATTAAATTTCTATCACAACCTAATTTATTTACAATAAACTAATATTATCATGTATAAAAATAATCATGCTCATATTTGATGAGTCTAATTAACTTCTTTGAGAATTGGCAAATAAACCAGCAGTGGAAAACGTGCGTTCTACTGCTACACTGCTTGATGGAATGCATAAGTATTCACTTGCCAGACATGTCAGATTGGATAACTTTTTGTGATTATTTTTCCAAAACTCTACAGGGTCTTCTTCTTCTTCTGCTGGTAAACAATTAATATAAATATTAACTTCCCTGACTAAACTCTGATGCCTGTTTTGATTGTAATTTGGAAGCGCAGCTTTAATTTCTTGAAGCATCATTTCTTTGCAGTAGGATAATTTTCTACAAAATAATTAACGTAAATCAACCATGCAAGTAAGTTAATATAAACATTTTAATATTAAAATTTTAAAACTATATGTAACTAGCTTTAGAAACTTATTTATAGAACTATAATTAAACATGCCATACAACTTACTAAATTAGTTTTTTTAACATTTACAATTTTTATTTTATTTATATCATACTTTATTTCTAGCTTACCATCTTTCAATAGTTTACAGTTATTGTTTTAAGTTACATTTGTAAACTGCTGCATGCGAATTTAAACTTTCTGTAAAACTTGATTAAGTCTCTAAATGTACATTAATTGCTTTATTATTTGGAAAGATAGACTTAACTGCTGGATCTAACAGACATGTTAATTTATTGTGACCGTTTTAAACACTGTTCTAATTTTGAGCTACAAGCCATTTTTAGCATTTTTATAACAGGTAAATCATACACCTTGAGAAGTGATGCAATTTTTATATTTGACCAATGGCAGAATAGAGAAAGAGTTCCCCCCACTCATAACTTCTGTCAATCTTTGAAAAGGTTTCAGGAACTTTACTATCTCCCTTAGTAATTGTAGCTCAAACTCATTGCGACACAGTTCTCTTTTACCAATTTTTTTTTAAGTATTTCTACACCATTATAAAGCTGATCATAAACAGTTCCACTGATCATAAACTGTTCCACCAACTGCATACTTGGAGTCGTAAACTTTTATGTTATTTAGATTTTTACCTTGAGTTATCTAGAAAAAAATCTTTTTCTTGACATTCATCTTTACTATTCAAAATGATAGAATTGTAAATTGGGCTTCTTGATTTGTTTGAATTGGGAACTGTTCATCAAAGTTAACAAGTTCTTTCACTTCTGCATTTTTTCTTAATTTATCAATAAGATCTACATCATCATTTGTAAACAAAAATTCATTAATAAAAAAAGTTGATTTGAAGCTCAAATATGTTATAATATTTTGACATTTCTTAAGTAATATTAAGATTTCAGGACAGAAATCAGACCATCAGAAACCAATAGTAAATTCAGTACATGAGCTAAGCAATGTTGAGGTTCTTCACAACCTAGTAGTCTATAAGTCTTAATCATGTTAACAGCACCATCATGAAGATTATGCAAAGGTATCATACTGTTTGCTAAACACATCTTTAATAACATCCTTCATAAAATCTGCAATATTTTCTGCAGTGTGGTTTTCCAGTGGTGCACAAGATAAAGTAAAAATTTTTCTATGCCATTCACTTGTTATTACTGAACACTTTACACCAATAAATGATAGTCTTTTGTATTTATCTTTCCAGCCATCAAAAAGTAAGGAAGCAGTATTTGAGTATTTTAAAACATTTTTTACACTGGTCTTGACTGCTTTGAACATATCAATTAAAGCATGTCGGAGATGAAGGTGATGGGGTGACTGTACCAAAGTTTTTTCCAAAAAAAGTTACAAAAACTGGTTCTTTCTACAAGGTTCAGCAACAATAAATCGGTACAAAACCAAAGTGCAATGTCACAAGTAATATCAAACTTTACTTTTGGTAAATGTCACAAGTAATATCAAACTTTACGGTCTTATCACAGAGCACCCCGGAAGAGCATTTAATAGAAAGTTCATGCCTCCTTCCCAACCGATGTCACAAAAATGTCCAGAGGTGGGGTTTGAACCACAGATCTTACGTTTCTGAGGCAAGTGCGCTAGCACTGCGCCACGGCTGCTCAGATGATTATAAAAAATTTATTGATTTGAAACTATAAATAAATAAATTAGTTGAATATAAAACGAACATAAAAAAGAAATTCAAAGTTAACAAAAATAATTTTCTTTTCTATAAGTTTAAAAATATCAAAAGTTTAAATAAAATTAGTAAAAAAATTGTAAAAATTGTAAAAACTTTAATAATAAAAAAAAAAATTGTTTGGCAAATGCAATGAAAAATAAATAATATTATTTTAAAAAAAATAAATTTGCAGCAGTGGAAAGACACCACTAATGTCATAAATTGGTTTTCTAAAATTAGTAACAAAAATGAATGCACAGTTATAAAATTTAATATTAATGATTTTTACCCCTTAATTACAACATAAATTTTAGATAAAACAATAGAGTTTAGAAAAATATACACTGAAATTACAAACAACACTTCATCTAATCTTCAGAAAAGCTTTACTCTGATTTAATAAGGAGATGTAAAAGAAAAAAACCATAAATGCTTTGATAAAAGAAATATAAAAATCCATATTGTTGTATTGATTAATAAAAATGAATTTTTAAAGAAGCTTAACAAAATAATGTTTTTTTATAGAGCACGAGAACCAAATAAAATAAAGATTTTTATGTTAAAATATAATAAATATTCTCTTAAATATAATAAATAATCAAAATAGACATTGATCACCATATATATATTCTGAATCTTTTTTCTTTTTATGTAAACATGTGAACTTTTTTCTAGTTTATCTAAGCCGTTTATTACTATGACACTTTTGTTTTTCTATCGAAACGACATTTTACAAATTCTTAAATTTTTAATTAAGAAAGAACTTTGGTAAACAACATTTATTAGAGATATTTGCTGAATTTTAAAATTTTTAGTTCGGAAATATTTATAGATTTTACACTTAACAAATTTACAGACAGCTTTTTATTAATTAAAGCAACAAATAATGTTTTATGGCAATAATTCAAGTCAGATGGCGATTAAAATTGTCAATGTGTTGCAGCACGGGTTAAAAAATATTTATATTTAATATTTTGCAATTTATGTTATATTTGGTAAGTATTTTACATTAGATTTGTAATTTAGAGAGACACCTGTTTCTTAAATTACAAATCAAAAGACTACCAAAATGACATCATTTACCAAAACTCTTTGGATTTAAACACCCTTGAATAAAATAGATTACGGCATATATTTTAAAGTCTTTGAGGAACTAGCTAACATGGAGACAGCGAGCTTCGAGTAAAACAACAAAGTTTGTTTGTCTAGGTATACCTTAATTACTTTGTTTTTGTTTTACTTTAAAAAATTCTACCTAAACATTTTTTTAAAAATCATTCTCTTTGATAAGAACTCAACTTGTCTCGACACTTTGGGATCCCTTTAAAGAAAAATACTGAAGATTGTAATTGCAAACATTAAATTGAATGCCCTATGAGTTGAAAATGCTTATCAGAAAAATATTACTTATAAATGAATTGTTTCCTCACAAAATAACTGATAAACAACACATATCAGTTTAACCTAGGTCAAACAAAAAAAATGTTATCCCAACCAAAAACAATCTTTTAAACATAAAAATGCTCTAAAGAGTATGATGTCTATACTATGCTGTTAAAATAAATTTGGCAACTAAAAGAAATAAAAATTATTGACAAAAGTCACATGTTGCATTTTTATTGTACATTTTATAAATTAATCATTAATTATTGACAAAAGTTGCATGCTATTTTTTTTCAAATGATGTATATAGTAAACAATTTTTGTAACGAGATACAAAAGAGTTTTTATAATTGAACATTATCTAAACACAAGATGGCTTTTAAATACATTGAACAACAAAAAATAATCTACATTACCAAGATTTACCATTTTTGTTACCTAATTTAAACATACCAATTGCAAAATATATTATCTTTGCATTCTTTATTTACATTAAAGCTTGGATTCAATACCACATTTTAGCAGATGCACTTATAAATAATCTGGATTTCATCGAGCTTCTTACTCTGTATAAAAATGTTTTTTCCTAACAACCATTAGTTAACTGGTATTGGTATAAAATGGTATATAAATAAGGATCCCTTTTGCATAAGGCAACATTACTAGACATTGAAGCTCTAAAAATTTTTACAGATCTCCTTTTAAAAAAAACTATTTTACAAGATTCTTAAAGCTATTAATATTACCTAATTTTGTTCCTTTGAGAAGTATTTTTCTTTGTGTAAAACTTTAGTAATAAAAATTTTTACCTATGTAAATATATTATAGTGTTTATGTACCAAGCTTACCAACTTCTACAACATCCTAATAAAAAAACTTTTAATCAAGGGTGGAAAAAATGCATGAATCTGCCTTGAAGTTTTTTTGAACTTATGAATGTGGCTCCCATGATTTTTTATAATGCTTTCATGTTTTTAGATTGGCTCTGGTGATGTTAAATATCTTCGAATAATTTTGACTAAATATTTTATTCATTAAAAAAAATCATTTTTGGGAAAGTTAATAATGCATTATGTTAAGTTAAAAATTATGTTAAGCAGTTGGTTCTTAAAAACAAAATTGCTTCAAGCAAATCTGCCTTCATAAAGGTTATTAATTCTGATTTTATTATTTTCAGCCCCATGAATAAATGCTTCATGCTTACCTGAGTTGGAGGCATTGTAATAATTTGAGCGACATCATTAACTCATCATTCTTTAAAAAAGTAACAGCTCTAGTTAACCTTCACCTTTTTAATGGCTTCTGCTCCTTTTCAAAAATCTATATATTCGACTCTTCAAAAATCTATGGGTTTTGCTCCCTTGCTCTGGCTCCTTCCAAAAACCTACGACTACCACAGCTCCAGCTCCCTATCCCTGTGTATTTTATTGAACTTCTTAATTTTAGTTGCCAATTTATCTTATTAATTTATTATATACAAACAAAAAATAAAGCTGTTATTTCAACTTTTTAACTGTAATTTCATTGCATACTCTTTTTAATTGCAAACAATTTCATTGCATGCATATGTTTAAAAAAAATTTTCTCTTTTTTTAGCCATGCACCTTGAAAACCACATTAACTAATTTGGCTATAATTTCTTAACTGTTATGAATTATAACCTGATTTTTTGAAGAAGATTGTTATAATAAATTGCTCTTAGGATGATTGCATCACTGCTAACTTATATTTTAAAGAACACTTCAAATGTACTACAAAAACCACATCATACATACCCCAAAAACCACGTTGGTTTTTTGATGATTATGGAAAAGATTTAAAATAATTTAATAAAATATTTATATAGTTTACTGGAAGATAATTTCTATTTGTCACCCATAAAAAAAGTTTAACTATATATGTTAATTTATTGCGGAAATACTGCCATTGAAGCATGTTATGTTTTTTTGTATGTTAGTCATTTTAGAGTTTTGTTTATTATATTTATTGCATTTATTAAGAGTAAGTAAAATGAAACCAACATCTCCGTTACATTTACGTATAAACAAAGTAAGAAATCTTAGTACAAAAGCTGATGCCACAGTTGCCAGAAAACATACTAACGAAAGAAATAAACAACTAGAAGCTGCTATAAATTGGTGCAAAGAAATGAATGGGAGGGGACAAGCAGCATTAAAGACTGGTATGTTTACTCTTATTAAAGATAGACAATCAACAGACAATTAGATGGGAAATGGCATGTAATCATTTAAGTATCAGTTTGAAATTTTTTATAAATAAAATCAATATACGTTTTTAAATATACTTATTTCCATGTAATATATTTTAAATTCACTTGCTAAAGAACTAGTAGAAGTTGGTGTTTTGGTTGATGAAGAGAAAATTAAAGCAGGGGTTTGGAATGGCTTTGTTGATACTAGTCGAATATTTAATTGTGATGAAACACCCTAATTTATTAACTATGGGGTTGATGGTACCAATTCTGGATTATTTTATGCTGGCAAAGGGGATGTATGTCAAAGAATGTATAGAGAAAACAGAGAATGTGTAACAATTCAACCATTTGTTTCATTTTCAGGTATACAATAATATGTGGTTTGAGAAAAAATGTATAAATAATAATACTTGCTTAAAATTATTTTCAATTTTTATTTTAAGGGGATATATGTATGTGCCAGGTGATATTTAAATGTACTGGTATTACAAGTTGTATGGTTCCGACAGAAGCAGCAAATAAAATTCCATATTTGTTGGTTACAACATGAGAAAATAGAGTATCAAACCATGAATCATTCTTGTCAGCATTGAATGAATTCGATGTCTACTTAAATGAAAAAAATGTTAAGCAACCCATCATCTTATTGTCAGATAGACATAGCTCAAGACTAGACTTTGATGTTTTATCTTTTCTTGAGTAAAAAAAAATTCGTCTCTGTCACTCCACCAGACACAACAAGAGTTACTCAACTTCTTGACCAAGTAAATAAGAACATTCATAGCGAGTATCGTTAACAGAAAGACTATGTTTTCAGATATCTGCTCCTTAAATAAAGAAGCTTTTATGTTAGTTCTAGCTAATAAATGGGACAATAGGGCAACCAAAGTAACTATTATAAAATCTGCAAGAAGGGTTGGTGTTACTGAAAATTCATTGAGTGTTGAATTTATGCAAAAAGATAGATTTGAAAGAGCCAAAAACTGTATTGAAGCAGAGAAACAGTCATCTCCCTTTTTTTCTTAAAAGGGAGATGACTGTTTCTTATCCATAAAAAGAAACAAAGAAAAAAAGTTAAAAGAAAAAGATGCTGCAAAAAAGAAAGAGGAAGTTAAAAAACTTTTTATTAAAAGTATGCTTCAATGTAATTAGACATAAAATGTAAAGCTTTCGGCTTGAAGCAGTGTCCAACCTGTCTTAACGTTATGAAGTATGTTTGCAGCAAAGTAAATTGCAAAGTAAATGGACAAAATCCAGAAATGATCTTATTAGCAGGTGCTAGAAAGAAATAAACCAATTATTTTAATGAGATATTTCTATAAATTTTGTACAAATTCAGTAAAAAAGATTGATTCTGGTTAATTTTTTTTTAATGCACCCCAAAAAATTTTTAATGCACCCCAAAAATTTTTTGGTTTCAAAAACCACATGTTGAAATGTACATTTTAATAGTTATTTTTACAAGTTTCACTTCTACTTAAAATGCAAATGGTTTGATTTATGTATAGAATATTTAAAAGATAAGTTAACTAGATTGGAGTTGCAAACTTAGTCTAAAAAACCACTATTTTATAGCAATTATTCTTAAAAATTCCAAAAAATTAATAAACTTTTTTCAATTGAAAACATATGTAAAAATTTTCCTATAATGTTATCTTTGTTTTCTTTTATTTTAATTGTTGCTGAAACATTCATGTATCAAAACACATTTCTTTTGTGGTTTTAAAATAAAGATTTAAATTTTTATAGCCATATAACTGACCATTCTGTTTTTGGGATGCCTTAGTTTTTGCGGTGCATTCACCAGTAGAGAAAATATTTGAAAAAAATCAGTAACCTCATATGCTGAGAAATCAGCAGTGATGTTGAAATTGCCAAATGTCAATTTAACTGGGATATAATAACTATTAAACACCTAATGTATTAAGTTTATAAAAACTCTAAATAATTCAGTTAAAAATACCTCATAAAACTGACAAACTGGTGTTTGTTTATCAGCCTGATATCTTGTTCGAACAAAAGAAGCAGTTAAAGTATGACATTTTCCATCAACTTGTTTTCCGTCTTTTAAATTTTTAACCTAAGAAAATTTTTTTAAATTCAAACTACGAAAAAATTTTATATAAAATAAGAGTTTATATAAAATAAGACTCCAGATAATTACCTCGGGGTGAATGCAAAGATTTTTCCTGGAACTTAATGCCAACCCAACCATTTTTAAATCTTGACCTGTTTCTTTTTTATAATAATCAAAGAGTATCTTTAGCTCTTCCATCACCTAGAATAAATATTTATTTTTTTAATGTCTTTAAATCATTTATATATATATATATATATATATATATATATATATATATATATATATATATATATATATATATATATATATATATATATATATACATATAAAATATATAAAGGGGTATGCACTCTGACTTTTGGTTAGTCGCCAGAAGGGTGACTGAAAGTAACCTGTTCTTTAATGTTGGTCACCTATTGACATTTTGAGTTGCATGTCGCTACTTTTTATAAAAACCTTAGCATTCAGTGGTGTTCTCACATATTCTATTCAGTTTTCCTAATTGAGCTAGTCATTTTTCCTTATAAGTCTAGACTAGAAATAATTTGCGTAAATAAAAGTAATATTGTAAACTATTGATAACATTCACTTTTCTACTTTCAGATAAAGCTCATGCCGATTATAAAAAAAATTGACGCTCTTTAATTAAATTAAATAAAGATCTTATTTGTTACAGGAGCCTGAAAACTATTGATATTTTGAAATACCATGTTGTAACTAAATTTACTTTTAAAACTGCATTAAAAATCATTTAAACTAAGATAATAAAAGTTATTGATAGAATCAAAATTCAATATTTGAAAAAGGTTATATTTTCTTATAATTTATTCCTTATACTTAATTGCTTTCGTATATTATAATCCACGATAACCTATGATGGAGAGACTTATTTTTTATGTAATGAAAATGTAACGAATTATTGAATATGTTAATGAATATGTAATGAGTTATTTTTTATGTAATGAATAAGTTAGCAAATAAGAAAAAAAAAATTTTTAATAAAAATTGCAAAACTATATTACAATCCTTGAGAACTAAAATTTAAATTCAACGCTTTACTATTTTACATTCGTTCAAAACTAAATTTAAATTTTTTTAAATTATATTTAATTTAAGATTAAAAAAAAAAAAAATTATAAAATAATTTGTTTAAAAAATTCAGTTAAAGTTAAATGCTTTTTTTTTACAACAATTTTTTCTGAACAAATGATGTGAACATTAATGACATTAATGATGTGAAAAGATGATCTTAATATTCACATATAAAAATATTTAAAAATATACAATGCCTTGTAAAGAAGCATATATATATATATATATATATAAATATATATATATATATATATATATATAAATATATATATATATATATATATATATATATATATATATATATATATATATATATATATATATATATATATATATATACTCTTGCATGGTAGTTAAAAAGAGTTTCCCATAAACTGTAGTTTTAAAGAGCGCGTTAATAAACCAGACCAGAAAAAGTTTAAAAACTTAAATTTTTTATTTTTTTTTCAAATGATAGACCCTGCCCAAACCAAACCCTCAGTCGATGTAGCAGCACTCCTTTGCGAGTCAGGCTATTTGTCAGTCGATGTAGCAGCACTACCTTGCGAGTCAGGCTATTTGTCAGTCGATGTAGCAGCACTCGGTTGCGAGTCAGGCTATAAGATAGTCGATGTAGCAACATTTACGCATGTTTTAAAAATGTTTTTTAATAAAACAAAAACAAAAACACTACTAATTAAAAAAAACTTTTTAGTCGTTATTATTGCGGTTTTTTAAAAAATTTTTAAAAAACAATAAAATTTAATGTACTTCCGCATTAATTTAATTGCTTTGACATTTCGACGACAATCAAATACAGCTTAAGAGACAAGGTAATTAAAATTATAGTCGAAAGAGACTTTTTTTTACATTAAAAGACTCTTTCGACTACACTATAAGGATATATATATATATATATATATATATATATATATATATATATATATATATATATATATATATATATATATATATATGTATATACATATATATGTATATATATATATATATATATATATATATATATATATATATATATATATATATATAATATATATATATATATATATATATATATATATATATATATATATATATATATTAGGGTGGTTCAAAAAACAACATTTTTGAAAATACTTGCAGCTCGCACTTTAATGTGTTCTATATAATACAACGAATTTAAAAGTTTTTTAAATAAAATCTGTTTTTTTCGGTGCCTCAAGATCATTGAATATTTAATGGGTTTAATATTATTTAAAAAAAGTTTTACAAGAGTATATATAGTTGGGTCTTAAATAAAGAATATAAAAATTTCAAAAATAATCATCATTATATAAAAAATCATTGAGAAATAAAATTATAATCAAAAAATTTTGTTAAAGTGCATACTTTCAAATTTTAGTTCAAAAATGTCATTTTCTAACAAAATCTAAAAAAATAATTTGTATACAAAATAACTATTATTTTAAAATTTTTTATATAATTTCACTTCATTTTAGATCCAACAAGACTTTTTATTATTATTATTATTATTATTATTATTATTATTATTATTATTATTATTATTATTATTATTATTATTATTATTATTAGGGACCCATTAAATGTTCAAGGGCCTTGATGCACCCCTAAAACTACTATTACTCAATAAAAACTTGGAAATCCAGTGTTATTTTAAAATATAAAACATATTAAGGTGTGAGCAGCAGATATTTTTCAAAAATATTGTTGAAAATGTTTTTGAATCACCCTAATACATGCATACATACATACATACATACATACATACATACATACATACATACATACATACATACATACATACATACATACATACATACATACATATATACTTACATATATATGTATGTATGTATGTATATATATATATATATATACATACATACATACATACATATATATATACATACATATATATATATATATATATATATATATATATATATATATATATATATATATATATATATATATATATATATATATATATATATATATATATATATATACACACACACACAAAGTGAAATTAGAAAACAGACAACAAAAAATAAAAATAATTCTATCAACAGTTATTAGAAGTTATAGACCTTCTCAATTTCAGGAACGGTTCTTGAACAATAAACAAACTTGCTAAGATGATGAGGACGTTCCTAAAATTAAAAAACTTTACATTTCATCTGTAAATAAGACTTATTTCATGCAAGTTTTTTTTTTCTTTTTTACTGCATTTAGGGATAAGCCCAGAGGCCTCAAATGACCTCATTTTATTTGTTTAATTGCTATTACACCCCTCTCTCAACTTTAAGGTTTTTTATATCCAATAATACAAATCTTAATTTTGAGCTGAGCTAAAAAAAAAATATTGTAAGGAGTTTGATAAATGAAGTAAACAAGACTTTAAAAAGTACACATTGTAACACAAGTTTAAACAACAAGCCCACAAAACATGCTGGTTATTCATAAATATAATAAATTCTAATAAAAAAAAGAGAAAATTTAATAGTTTTTGTCCATATGTATTACTTGTATCATTTTGCATAACTTAATCTCATCAACCATTAAATACACCACTTAACCACCAAATTAATATAATTTTGAAAATCATTTAAACTGTTTATTGCAACCGTAGTTCAGGTATCATCAGCATATAAATTACTAGGATTTTGAAGTATTTTGCATAATTCATTAAAAAAACTATAAATAATAATGGTTCTTAGACATTGCCTAGTAGTACCCCACTACTTAAAAAAACTCTAAAAAAAATATATATCGTCCAATAACCACTTTTTGCTTCCTGATACTCAAAAAGCTTTCAATCCATTTAAGTAAGTTTCCACAAATTCCATACGCTTTGAGTTTTTTAAGCAGTCTTTTATGGGGAACAATGTCAAAAGCTTTTGCAAAACTTATAAAGATAATTTCTTAACACTTGTTATTGAATTTATAAGATTTGTTATGCCTTTCATAAACCATGTTGATTTTTATTTAAAAAATTGTTTGAAACTAATTGTATTAAAACATGTAACCTACTTCCTTTTTTCAAGAAATGGCCATCATTTTCTTGTTTCCGTATGTTTAGTAACTCACCACTGCTTAATATTTTTTAAAGATACATAATGGCTTTGTTAGGTACATTTTTATTTGGAACTTTCAAATAGGTCAAGTCACAATTTTTCATGAATTTCTGCTTCACTGATCTCTGCATCATTACAAACTATGATTGGTTGAAAACCTTCAATTATAGTAATAAATTTTTTAGTAAAGACTAAACAAAATCAAATGTTTTAATATTTTTATTCATTTAGTTTTTATTAAAAAAAAAAACTATCAAATGTCGAGAAAAAAAAAAAAATTATTATAACATGAAATTAACTATAAATCATAGTTTAAAAAAAGAAAAAAATTATTTGAAAAAACTAAGAGCAAAGTTTTTATATATTATTTAACATTTGCAAATATTTTTACATTGTTTTGAGTTCATTTTTTAATTTAACAAGTTTTGATACAACTTATTAATGTTATTACTCATAAATTCAAAAAAAATATTGTCCATAAATACGAAAAACAAGTATAAAATACTTTATGGTGTTTCAAATCTCATTAGGCATATGGGTTATGCACATTATATCTGTTGCAAGGACTGTTTTTAGGTTAAAAATATTAAATTTTGCATGCACCAGTTACAACTATGGAATAAAAAATTGATTATTTTATACATCAATATACTTGATCTGAATGTCTGTCATTAAATTATAAAATATTTGTCAGCATTTAGGGGTCATATATGCTTTTCTCATTCAGAAATAAAAGCTAATAAAAATTAAACATATACGAAATATCAAATCTGTAGATTTATGAAATGTCAATTAGAGTTTTTATATGGTAGGATTGTTTTACATAGGTTGAACAATATATTATAGTCTGTATTAAACAAATCATGACATAATTTATATTATACATTAAAATAACTAAAAGATAAAAAAAGTTCCAAGAAATGAAAAAAAAATTCTACAAAAAGAAATATAAAATTAGATAAATTTATTTTTAATTTTTTTATTTTTAAACAAAATTTTATTTTGGGTTCCCATCAAAAAAATAGTAAAGTTTTAGGGAGAAAAAGATTAAAACTATTTTATGCAAAATAAAATCTCAAATCTAGTAATATCTTATTTTTTATTTAAATAACAGAACAAATGAAAAATGTTCAGAGGATAATCCAATGCCAAATGATCAGCATTAAGACATATTTAAATAAAACTTTCAAATATTTACTAAATTTTAATAGCTAATTATAAAAGCTAATTTTTAATAGCTAATTATATCTGGGAAAAATTTTAAGATAATCAAACTATTTCTTTCCAACATTATTCACTACCTCTACAAATCTCTTACTTGCCCCTGTCGTCATGCTGTTGTCTTATTTGGCCTGGTTCTTCTAATGATGCTCTTTCTCTTCTAGACAAGACCCAATAACACATTGTAAACATAGTTGGACCTATTCTATCTGCTAAGCTTAAGCCTCTTTTCCAATGTCATAAAATTGCATTTCTTTCTCTTTTCTAAAAATATTTGCATGGGTGCTGCTCTAAAAAACATCATCATCACTAGTTCTATCAACCAAAACTCATTCTCGCATTATTTCTTCATTCAGCAGTCTGATTCTTTTACTGTCACTGTATGCTCAAAAAAGTTTATTTGTCTAGTTTTTTCTCACAATTCAATGCTTTGGAACTCTTTTCCATCATCATGTTTTTCTGACTCATACATCCTTTTAAATTTTTTTAAGTCTTCTGTCAACCAATTCGTTGTTATTTAACTCTTTTATTATCTTCTCAATTTGATAGTGATTGCTTAATAACAAGGTTCAAAAATAAATTATTGCTGCAAAAAATAAAAACAATCAAAACTTGCATATTTTTACATATATTATTGTTTTTTTAAACACCAGGTTATTTAAGGATTATTAATAAAAAAAAGTTATTAAAAAAATAATAATCCAAAAAATGTGTGCAGTTACTTAAAAATTAACCAATAAAAAATTATTCTGAAGCTATTTGCACATTGTATAAAAAATTAAAATCAATTTTTATTCAAGGGGAAAGTTTAAAGAACGACTTATTTAAAAATGTAAATGTTTTAAATTAGAAACTAATTAACTGATAACATAAATAATAATAAAAAAGATATTTTAAAATAAGTTTTTTTTGTTTTGTTTTTAAATAACTATAAAAAGTTTAAAGTTTTTATATATTTTTAAACTCCTCTGTCTTTTAATTTTTTATACATATCTGCTAAAGAGTTACAAACATGATTTATAAGAAAATATTGAATAAGATTTAAATAAGATACAAAAGTATTTTATATCTTATTTCACAATTTCTGTAATTAAAAATATTTGATCATCACTAAATTCCTTTAGACAGTTGTGATTAGCAGTTATTTTTTAATAATTATACTGTACATTATCGTGCTTTATTTTTCAAGTTTTATATGATGATTTATAAAATGAATTAAAATATTTAAGTTTAAATCATAATTCTTAGTAATAAAAATAATAGTAATAATATGGTTATATAATAATTATTTATATCATAATTCATAACCAATAGAAATATTTTTTTATTGAATAACAACTTGAGTTAAGTGATCAAAACAGAGTTTGCAGAGATTGCAAGACCACTTTCTCTAAATGTTGGCAAATATATGCTTTTTATTATAAAACTATATCCAAACATGTAATTTCTTTTCAAATAATTTCTTATCTAATGTAATTGTATTTTTTCATTTGCTCCTAAAACTGGAAATAACTTTTTACATCATTTAAAGTGCGATAACCCATGCCAACTTAACAACTTATGTCAATAGAAGTTGTGCCGAAGTAGCAGCATGTACTCAGGGTATTTGTCATTTATTTTCAGTTATTCTCGTGATCATTTAAAAGATGGTAATGGAATTAAGAAGGAACAAAAAAAATAATTTTCTTAGTTAATGAAATAAAATATCAAAAACAGGTGGAAAGCTATTATCTAACCGCCAATTTCTTGCTGTACTTTTTTTTAACATTTGCAAAGTTAAATTGACTGTTGCTCAAAGCAAAAAAATTGTAATTTGATAGTGTACACATAGTGAGGATGACTTTCAAGATAACTTATTTGATATAACACACATTGATGCTTTGGAACAGATAAAAATACAAGAAAATAGAATATTTTTAAACAAACAAAGAGAACCATCCAGTATGTTTAGCAGATGTAGACAACAAATTAGTCAAAAAAGAAGAATTAAAAGAGTAAAAGACGTGAAAAGAAATGTTTTTTAGGAGTTTATAGTTATCTCTTATTGAACAAGACTTTATACAAACGCAAAGATAGTCTTATCAACATACCTCTGATAAAATTCTTAAAGGTTAGTTAAAAAAGAGCTAACTAATGGTGTGCATGACTAAAAATAAAGATAATAAATATTATTAAAAGATGCCAAGTAAAAAAATGATGTTTCCTTCAAACCATAAAATAAAATTATGCAATATTAAATATATATATTTATACATTAATATCATTAATAATAATGTATCATTAATTATATCTTTATTATCATAAATCAATTTTAGATTTTATTATTAACAAATCAACAACAAAATCTAAAAAAAATATTTGGCAGTGACACACAAACAACAAACATATTTTTGTTCTTACTTTTATGTATGCAACAATCAAAGATATCAGTGATACTGTTTTTCCTGTTCCAGAAGGCATTTCCAACAAACAATGACCCTAAAAACAATAAAAATTGTATGTAGCATAACAGATCTTTTATAATCTAAATTTATTATAATTAAAAAGCAAAAACAAAAAAAACAAAAATTAGAAATTAAAAAGCTATTATTTTTTGTTAATATTAAAAACATTAAAATTAACAGTTTGAGTTTTAATTTCTATAAACTTCCTGTAATAACTTGAACACTTAAATATTATATTTTTTTAAATTCAAAATTCAAGTTCAAACCTTAGCATCAAGTGTTCGTTTCAGTTCTAGCATATATGAATACTGCTCAGGATAAATGAAATCATGGGGGAAAAGAACCAAAAGTCCATCAATGTTAAGTCTATAGGAACAATAAGTAAACTTTCAAGAAAAAAACTCATTGAAAAAATGTTTATAAAAAAAAAGATTAACTTACTTCATAATGATTTGTCTTTTAATATAAATAGATTTTCAAATTAAAAATTCAACAGGATAAAGAACAGATGCTAAAACATGATAAGCATTTTTTAAGCTCTAAAAAGTAAGAATATTTACATAGCAATAAACTATTGAATAAGAATAAATCTAACCATTTTATACTAGAGTAGTGACTGGACTTCACTACTCTAAGTTTTGCAATTAGGTAAAGTAATCCCAGACACTTACCTTCATCTTAATTTTTTTATTTTGAAAATTATTATCATAATATATATAACAATGAAAAAATCTAATTAGTATAGTTAGATGCTAGATTCTGGAGCAAATGCTAGATTTACCCCTGAATAAATAATTAATAATAAATAAAAATCAGCACTATGATAAAAATATGATTTTAAGAATCTAATAAAATAGAATACATCATCAGATTAACTACAAAAAAATAATAATACAATGAAAATATATTTATTGTTAAGTAACAAATTTAAATATATAATACATGCGACACAAATCAAGTTTATAAGTTTCGTTAAATTTAGAATTTCTCAACTGAGCGAGCAGCTACAGCTCGCATATTGCCATACACTTTAGATGGAGGGCTGCCTAAAAAAATGTAACTTTTTTTAAACATTTTTTATAAAAACAAAAATATATATTAGATCTATAAATCTAAAAAAAACGTTTTTTAAACAAAAAAAAAAGAATAATTTTTTTATATTTACCTTTTTAAGTGCGGGATTTTCAGGGGTAAAAAACCCTGGGTTTTCACTAAATCTTTATATTACATATAACAATTTCCAAATTTCCTCAATTTTTTTGCATATTATCAAATAAATGATGCATTTTGTAAATTAATAACCAAGAAAATAAAAAAAAAAATGTTTGGACCATTGTTTTTGTGTGTCTGTAAAGATTGATTGATTAGACCATGTTACTACAGAGGTGGCCAGTTTTTTATCTATTATAAATTTTCTGAGATAAATAGACTTTTTAGAAGTGAAATAATATTCTGGCTACCTCTGTGGTAACAAGGTATAAAATCAATTAATTGTAGTAGGTTTTATTAAAAACGATTTAGTTAATAAGTACAAAAACAAAACTTGATGCGGAGCGGTACAATTGTTCCTAGTCTTAAAGTTATAAATTTTAAGTTGAGTGTGGTTTAATGTTTTAAAATAGTTACTTGTAATCTCAGCAAACCTTTGAGTGATGATTTTCCTCCAATGCATATTTTCACAAGGCATTTTCAAGGCATATTTTCACAAGTAAAAATGTATTTGCATGTGCTATATTTTTGCAGTCCACATTTTTATGCTGGTTTCACCAGCATAAAAATGTGGACTGCAAAATGAGTTTTTAACATTTTGGATAGTCTGTCTTTTTGTTTGATAAAAATTTATGAAAAAGGAAAAAAGTTGTTTCTAACTAAAACATCAAAAATCAACTAAGTAAATATCTCTTGTGAGTATAATATATTTTATATAGTAAGTTGTTAGTATTATTGTTAAATAAGCTACGAATACTATATTATAATAATTGTATATATATATATATATATATATATATATATATATATATATATATATATATATATATATATATATATATATATACAATAATATTACAAATTTAATTGTATTTTATTATTATTTATATATATATATGTATATATATATACATATATATAGAGATGTAAGTTGTTTTTTTGGTTCTTGTTTTTTTGCCAAAAAAACCGAGGACTTCATTTTTTGGTTTTTTTGCGTTTTTGCCTTAAAAACTACTTTTTTTGCATTTTAAACACTGAAATGGTTTTAAAATTTATTTTTGGTGATATTTATTAAATACTTGTTTTAATACTTCCATTTACCATATTTTTAGTATTGTCTTAGTTTAGCAATTGTTCAATTATTCAAAAAAAAAAATTTGAAAAAGCAGCATTAATTAGAAAAACAATTTTTTTTTTTTTAATAATTTTTAATAATAATTCTTATAATTTAAGACAAAGAAGTAAATTTTTATAAGTAAAGGCCATGAATTGCATCTTATTTAATATTGAACTGTTTTAAGAATTTATTATATGAATGAAGTAACACTGCATCGCATAATAAGTCAGATCTGGGAATTTTTGGTGTGGGTGTGAGGGGGAATCGGGGCTTGTTAAAAATTTGGTTTATTTTGTATCACATTTTTGCCTACTAAAAAAAATTTTAAAAATTTAAAGATATTTTATAAATTTATGGATTCTGGTGCGGGGTGGTAGGTTCATACCTCTCATTTCCCCTGGATCTGTCACTGGTTTTAAAATTACAAAATTATATTTCAACTTTTTTAACTTCTTCAATTAAGTTCATTTTTCATTAATCCATAACTTATTTTTTGAATAATAATATATGTATTATTTAATGGAATGAATCAGAATTATCTAAATAAATATTTTTATTATATGAAAGAAATATATTTATTATATGAAACACTGCTTTGCAAAATAAAAAAAGGTAATCATTTTCATGTTTAATATAAGGAAAATGAATAATTTTTTTGAGGTAAAAATCTTGAAATTTTTTTAAAAAATAAATAACTGTTTAGCCATTTTCCTAATCAAAAAGATAAATATTTTTATACCACTTTGGCTAAACACTCTGTTTACACAAAATAAGTAAACAAATATACCATAAGAGTTTAAAAAAAACGCCAAAAAAACCTACACCCAAACCAAAAAAACGCCAAAAAAAACCAAAAAAACGTTTTTTTGGGTGAAAAAAACGTGACAGCAAAAAAACACATTTTTTTGCAACACTACACACACACACACACACACACACACACACACACACACACACACACACACACACACACACACACACAGATATATATATATATATATATATATATATATATATATATATATATATATATATATATATATATATATATATATATATATATATATATATATATATATATAATAATAATAATAAAATACAATTAAATTTGAATCATAACTCAGAGTTTCCCGCTTTATGCAATCATCAGACGTTACAAATAACCATAACAACAACAAAAATTATATACAAAAATACAATACATTGTTAGCTTAGATGAAATTAGTTTTCATGTCGACACGTAGATATTAATTCATTTTGTTTATTTAATAGTTTCAAAGATGATGTAATGATATGATATATTTCTGTTAAACAAAGGTTACATAACTTTCTTTCAGGTTTAAAAGGTTCATTGTGAGGATTGAACTAAATAATTTTTCATGATCTTGATTTTGGTTTTGATGAGCTGATATTCTTTTGGAAAGTAATTTTTTCATTAAACCCACTTGCTGCTTGCGCATTGTTATAAAATTATGTTACTCTATCGAAAACTTCCTTGCTAGATGAAATATTGCTAATACAGTCAGATATCATAGTTGGTATGGATTTAATAATACTGGGAGGGTGGTTAGAATTTATGTTGATGCATAATGGGTGGTCACCTGGTTATTTGTATGACTATAAAGTATTTTCTAACAGGTTGAAGGTAACATGAAGAAAATTTATAACTTTTAAGTTGGTTTTTATAGTAAGTTTTAGATTAAATTTCTCCTTAAAAAAATGACGATGTTTTTCTTTATTCTCTCTGATTGTGGTCCTTTAATTCCATGAGTCCAATTAACTCACACACTTCAGCCCCATAGTAACTTCCCATAGTAACATCAAAATTAGGATCACTAAGTTTTTTGATCTAATGTGTTTTCTGAAAATTCTGTAAATTACTTGGCCTGAATAAGTAAAATTTGTAGTAATTCTTTAGAGATAGAAGGATAGAACTCTTTGATATCAAACTGGATGAAAGTGCAGTCACATTTGTCTTTAATATTGCGGAACCAATAAAATACGGGTGACAATTATGTCACCCGTATTTTATTATGTCACCGTATTATTTCTCACTTTATTGTTGATGTTTTCCAGTAAAGTTTTACTAACCTATAAAGCGTGAAACTCTGAGTTATGTTACAAAATATAAAGCGTGAAACACTGAGTTATATTACAAATTTAATTGTATTTTATTATTATTTTAATATAATATAATATATTTGCTCTACTTTTGTATTGAGCACTGTCTACCGAAAAATTACTGGTGTGTGTATGTGTAAAAAAAAACTCTTATTACTGGTGTGTGTATGTGTACATATATATATATATATATATATATATATATATATATATATATATATATATATATATATATATATATATATATATATATATATATATATATATATAAGTTTGATATTTTTGCTAGTGTTGCATATGCTTTAATGTACTTTTTATTATTTATAGTGTACCACAAAGAGTACCTAAATCAGAATAAATGTTTCAAGACTTATTCATATGGACAGCATGACTACAAGACCGGATATATAGATTTTTAATCAGATATCTGAATACCTATTTGCATTCATTACTAATAGCACATTTAAAAAACCATACCTATGTCACAATCTGTACATATAATTCATAGTGTTTCTTTTATTAGGTTTTTTAAGTATCCTCAAATAGGTTGGAGGATACTTAAAATAATAAACAAAGAAAGCAAAACTGCACGAGTTAGTCATGCAGGTCAAACTTTTTTGGCAGAAAACACTAGAGATACAGTTAATTATTTGTTTGTGACATTTGATATGTACCTCTATTAAGTGTTTTTTTGAATGTTATGCTATTGTTAGTAGTTTAGAGTATTTTTGTTATACTATTTTGTTAATTTTTTTTTTGGTAAAGAAATCTCAATATAGTTTATAATAATTTAAAGCTTTGTTGCTTTTTGTTTTTAAAAAATATTTAAGAAATAATTTAATAAATTTTAATTAGTAAATAACTAACTTAGAAATATCTTTACCATGAACTTAAATAGTATACTTATAAGTTGTGTTTTAAAAATGGCTATTTTTTAATAATTTGTTGCTATGAAAATAGCCATTTTTTTAAAAATGGCTATTTTCATAGCAACAAATTATTAAAAATTTTTATTAGAACGTTGAGAAATTTTGTAAAAAACTAAAGGACGAAAAATCAGATAAAAGCAGATTTGTTTATGATTTTAATAAGTTTTTATTCAATGATACTGTTTATAAATTTCTTAAAAAATTTGTAAAGTTCTATAAAATATTTGCGCCTACTGCTTTTTGAATAAAAATATCCGGAGTAATGTAATTTTCCAAGTTAGTCAGGAATTAGTCAGAATGAACCGAAAAAAATACACTAATCTGTTATTTTATAAAAACCGGATATTTTTCTTTTAAATATAAAAATATAACGAAAAATTCGATGTCTTATGAAAAAAAGGGCTCAATGTGTTGAATGCTTCTTTATTAATAAGCCTACTTCTTAATTTTGCATAGGAGCGACGCTTAGTTTGACATCGCAAATGGTGGAAGCATTTATTAAACAGTGAAAAGGGAAAAAAGAGAAAAGGAAAAACAAAAGAAATTATTCTAAAGAATAAAAAAGATAAATTAAAAATAAAGTAAAATAACAAAAATATTAATAGGTATAAACAAACTAAAAGATTGAAGAAAAAATAAAACAAGAAAATGAATAAAAAAATAAAAAGAA